GACGCTTCAAATGCAAAAAAGACAAAAAAGAAACAGAAAAGAAGAGTACGGTAGACCCGTGACATAAAAAAGCGTTCCCTTCTCTCAGAACGAGACCGCCTTTCGGTCGAAGTCGCTACCGTTCGCGCGCGCGATCTACTTATTCGTTTTTTTAATTATTTAAAATATGTACAGTATTAATAAAACATCATCCGCCTTCGTCTCTTCCTTCTTCTTCGTCTTTTTTTCTTTATTTTTTTTTCTTAAAGATTTTCCCTTAATCATTCAATGATTCCGACACGGTATGCGGCGGGCTGTGCAGGCGCGCAGCGTCAAAATCCACCAGGGATTTTCCTAACGAGAATGCTACAAATTCTCAAGTTTTTTTTTTTTATCTCGGATTGTGGGGAAAACGGAATAACTACGTTTCTCATGAATTGAATGTGTATACAGGTGTGTACGCATGTATCTCGATCGCGGAATCACAACGCACTCTCTCTCTCTCTCTCTCTCGCTCTCGCTCTCTCACTTTCGTCTTCAAAAAACGAAGAGCTGCGCATATGGAGTATATACCACGTGCCACTTGTTACTTTATCCGGAAACACGCGGGAAAGAACAGAGAAACGAATGCGATATAGTCGACCATCTAATTGATCGGGCCTCCTCTAAATCGCGCGCGCAAATATATGAAAGCGTAACACTGTTCTGCACTGTTCTGATAAGCTTGATGCATGTGCGTGAATATAAGCATGTAAGCGCGGGCGTCGTCCCGCTCAGTCCACCGCAAAAGGATCGTGTGGTCTTAGACCGAAACTTGTCTCCCCCGTCCTGGCGTGTATATCTGCTCTCGACTTCTGGTTGTTCTTCCTTTTCCTCTTCTTTCTCCTTCTCCTTTATCGTCGCATCTCTTCTACTTTGTCCTTAATTTCTTTTTTTTTGTTCGCTTATACGTACTTTGTTTTTTTTTTCTTCAACAACACGATCTAGACTAAACCATGTATAATAATTACATCTAATAATATCTTATTGTAACATGTATTATTATTATTATTATTATTATTTATCATTATTTATTTATTCTTACTATTATATTATTAATAATAATTAAATTATATTAGCCTATATAAAGTAAAGAGGCTGCGCACGACGGCAAAGCTTTTTTTGGGCTCCTACGGCTCCCCGGACACGGAACACCCTGTCGACAACACTGCGGATCCTCTCCGTAGCTCCAAAATTATCCATCGCTCCTTTTCTCTTCTCGCATACGTACACACAGATACATACTCCTCTCTTTCATTCTCTCTCTCTCTCTCTCTCTCTCTCTCTCTCTCTCTCTCTCTCTCTCTCTCTCTCTTCATCCTGTATTTTCGTACGCACATCCATACTGAAAAAAAAACGGTGATTCACCGAAAGTCAACAATCGCGCACGAAACTTGGTCTTAAATCTCCGCATATTCGTTGTGACAGAAGCGATCGAGCTACGACGGAGAGGTAAAATCGAGCTCTACTCCGAATTCCGATTTGGCTGCATCTCTTTCTTCTAAGTTACACAGTTCCATCTATAAAAACAGGCATATAGGAGAAGAAGTGATAGTTATAATTGGGATCGGCGTCGATCGATCTGGAAACGCCGTGGCTGAATAACGTCCGAATCGATAGACCTCGCGTATTACTGATCTCGATGACAACAGGTAGATATAGTTGTTCGAAACGTCGCCAATTCCAGTTCCCGACATACGGATTCGCGCGCGTCTATTCGATGCTGTTCCTTGTCTCGAATTTCAGCTGATCTCCCGCGCGCGTAACAGAGAAAAGTCGCGAGAGATCCGCGTTTGTCTCCTCTCCGACATTCACGACATTTCATGTGTCCACTCGTAGCGAGATTCGAGGCGACGGCACACCGAATGGAGGGAACCGGCGAGGGAAGCAACGTCTCGCGTTTATGCGCATAATACAGGACACCTCGATTATTGAACACTTAGGGTAGTTTTGGGGCCTGGACCGCTTAGCGAGCGTCGCATCTCCGCTCGGGACACATCATCGATCCGCGTCCGCGTACGTCACAATCTTGCTCTCAACGCTATTTCCTCGCGGTTACTGTATAATATGTCGTTGTAACAATATAACCGCCATCGCTCCATTCTCATTGCAAAGCAATACAGTTACACGTGTAAGCTCATCACGACGCACCAACGAAAAGTGTTATTGATTCGCAAAGAAAATGGAATGATTGCCGTCCGATCGCTACGAGTGTCTTTAGTCCACGACTCCGTTAATGATAAATGACTCGATCCCTTCAAGCACGATCATCCGCTCAGATACATCTACGGTTTAAAAAGAAAAAAAGACTGTTCGTTTCAGAAATTCTTATTTTGCGGAACCCTCTCGTCAACGATCAGCGCAATACGACTGAGAAAAACTCCCGAGGGAAACGAGCAGGGAGAATATATTCGGTCGCGAGATTGCATCGATGAAAAGTCTCTCGGATCGTCCCGGCCCGAAAAAAGTCGCGTGGCAGGCATTTTAAGTCACGGTTGTGTTATTTCGACACTACACGCACAACGCACAACGCACATACATGCGCTCACATATCTCACGTAAAACACGGACAGCGCGCTCGTCGGTTGGCTGACAGAAATCGCGAATTCGCTGCTACACAGGGCGTTCCGCGTTGTGGGGGGTCAATGATTTATAGCGAGCTGTCCCGCTCTGGCATTTTTTTAATCTATGAAAAACTAAGAGAAGGAATTTTTATAATCTTCATTTAGCTTTTATCTAAGTAAGAACGTTTCTTTTTTCACTTCTTCTCTCTGTTCCGCGCGCGGCCCTTCTTTTCCTTTTACAATCTGCACAGTGCATCATAATAATACAAAATATCCACGATATTCGCTGGCTCATTTTTTTTTCTCTCTCTCTCTCTCTCTCTCTCTCTCTCTCTCTCTCTCTCCCCCCTCTCTCTCTCCTCCCCTTCCCCCTTTCTCCCTTATGCGCGAGCTTTAATAATATTTCGTAATTTATTTATTTTCTCGGTGGCATACAGTGGATTCTCATTTTTTTTTCTATTTATCCGATTTGTTGGCAACCAGACCGCGATCTTTCATCGTTCTACTATCCGTACGTGCAATTAATTAACGTATCGCTTATTAGTCCATCTTCGTCAAAGTATACATACTGTTCACATATCTTGGCCTACTATTATCTCTTTTCCCCTCTTACTAATCAATCTCGATAAAATAAACCTTCGAACTCTGTGTTAAAACTAATCTCAGCATTCTTTTTCCCATTTTGCCTCCCCGTGTGTGTCGCGTGTGTTAGTGTGATATTAACCTCACGCTAAAAATTGTAACTACTGAAACTACGCAATACGTTTTTTTGCCGTTTTTTTTTCCTGATAGCTATGCGGATTAAGACTCGAAACCGAACGTATGTAGTTTATTAATAATAATGAATACTGAGAATGCGGTTTTATTTAATTATATTTTATTATTTATTTCATTTAATTATGTATCATAACTCTCTCTCGCTCTCTTTCGCTCTTTCTCTCTCTCGCTCGCTCGCTCTCTCTCTCGTTCTCTCGCTCTCTCTCTCTCCCCTTTATTTTAGTTATGTTATCATGACGTATGACTATAGATCATACCCGATATATATCATATCAGGTCCTTCGTTACAATTAACAATTAATTTTCGTACGAAGTATTTCAGCATTATGCGAAATTCCTAAGATTTTTTTTAACGATTCTCCTTTTACATTGAGCACTTTTTTGTTTGCTCTTTCGCATCGATCTCTGATCCTTTTGTTTTTCAGTGAGTCTCTTCGTCTTCCAGATAAAGTTCTCTATGGAGGACGTGTTGTGTGTGCTGACCTTAGCATACCGATATTTTGCGCGCATTGATCGACGATCAATGAAAGCCCATTACGAAGTTTCTTAGTAACGCAAAGATGTCTACGATAATACGCCACTAATAGTAAGAAGTCGCGTGAATGTAATAAATCGCATTCGACATACATAAAGACGCACGTGATTCCATGATTCTCTATCGCGCGTAAACGCCCTGTTTTTCTCGACTATGTCCATTTCCGCTGCCGTTACAGATTTTCGTTCTCGTTGCCATTTCGGCTTCCTTTTTGCATCTCGTCGTGTGTTATCACGATTCTTTAGGCCTGACACTCGTACATCAGTCGTGCTGCGGCGTATCAGTCAATTCGGCGATTTTCTATTTCATTCTCTCATTCCTTCGTTCCATCTTCGAGCGACGCTCGCGGAATATATCCCATACAAAATTTGACAACGGCAGCATCAGACGTCACCTGGAAATAAATTCCGTAGTCGTGTTGTAGTCGGACGCGGAGCGGAAAGCGCGGCTTCCCGATCAGCATCGTTTCCATGATAGGAATGATGAAATCCTCTCGATGATGTGCCTCCTCCATCGACGGTCTCTCAAACACCGGATCAATTTTTGAGACTGCGAAATTCGACACGCGCGTGCAAGCAATTGGCAGCAAAGCCAGAACGACGAGCGTGCTTTTTGTACCTCGCGCTGTATCTATGTAGCACTAGAGGGTCTTCTCCGTGTCTGTATAAGAATCTCGTTCCTCTTTTATCGTGAGGTTCAGCACATAATTGGCGAGTCCTTTGTTGTTCACCCATTCACCCTTTGTTGTTGCTCTCTTGACACGTGACTCGGATAGACCCAGTAGCACATCCCTTGTGAAATGTATTACATCTGTTCAACATGAGTTATTTACTTATTTTTCTTTTTCTTTTCAAGTATATCTCTCTCAGGTGTGAAATGCGTCTCATTCTCTCTCAAACTCTCTCTCTCTCTCACACACCACACACACACACACTCACTCATTCACTCACTCACTCACTCTCTCTCTCTCTCTCTCTCTCTCTCTCTCTCTC